GTCGATCATAGTAATTTATTTCAAATCAAAGTGTTCAAATATTTTTTCAAATACAATAATCTCTTTCTACAACTCGTGTTTAATTTTTTTTTTATAATTCAGATAACACAACAATCCTACATAAAAATAAAAAAAAACAAAATATCACAAATAAATTAAAAGTAATAAATTATTTACTTAAATATATATATATGGATTTACAGGAGAGAAATAATGTATCATGATTTTAAATAGTATTCGTCTGTCTGTCTGATTTTCTATCTGTATGTCTGTTTGATTCTCTTTCTCTCTTTCTCTCTGTCTTTTTCGAACAAGAGTATTCCAGAAAGTTTTGATTGTCTGCGAAACTTTCCAATGGATATCTATAGAACTGGATAATATAATTCTCGCGAGTTGTCGATAATGAAACTGTTCGACGAGTGCTTTTCCTCTCGAGACTGACTCAATGCTTTTCTCCAAAGAGCATCCAATGTATTTCTATAAAATATACGTACACCTCCATGTAACTTGCCAGGACTCATAAACAGATATGATTTTATACCAGAAATATAAAAGAGGGAGACAGGGAGAGAGAGACATAAGCAGATTCGTACAAAAGAAAAGTGATATTCTCTTACATTTACTATATCAAAAAAATTAAATTTAAATATTTTAATATATTTTATATTTATATATTTTCAAACACCCCCCCCCCACGAAACTTTTTTAATTAAAAGAAAATAATTTAATTGAATATTGATAGCAATAGTTAAAAGAGAAAATAAAAATAATATGTTCGTTTAAACTGATTTAGAACAAACTTCTACATAGTCATGATAGAACTTTTGTTCGATTGAAAATAATGAACGAATCAGGGCACAGCCTCTTATTATTCTTTTTTCTAACGGACCTTTCATCAATAAGCACACGTCCTTGAATACATTTTTTTAACTTCCCAATGGCACCTTCATTGCAAGCCACTTGACACGAGATTGCTGCACGTATTATTAAAACTATTTTCGTACGACTTATCGTCACTTCGAGACGAGCTAAATTTTCTTATTCTTTTTCTTTTCTTTTTTGTAATAGACTTTTTACATTATAAATTCATTATAATAGTTTGGTATTTTTTAATGATTATTTTGATAGGTACTTCATTCTCGATAGGGATTAACATGTTATATAGATATATGTATATCATATATATACATACATACATAACATTTAACATGTATAATATATATACTATATACATCTAAGTATGTTTATGTATATGTAMATATATATTTAGTATATATATATATATTACATAAGTATAATATAATATATCTTATCTATAAATGTGTCTCATTTAATTTTTTTGGGGCTATCTTAATTATGTAAGTTTTAATAGTTAAATAAAGTATTAATTTTAAAATGCATTTTTTATATGCGAGATTCTTATTATTTAATTTTATATATATTTATGTAATAGTTTTTATTTTTATATAATTAAAGTATCTTGCATTTACTTGATCTCATACTTTACTAAATATATAAATGCATGTATATTTACATACGTACATACACATACACGCATATATTTTTTTTTCTAGGAATAAATCTTTAAAAAGAATTTCTTTTTACGAAGCAATGATGAGTATCTTTAAATTTAACAGGAATAAGTTTCAAGATATTATATATTAGCTTAATTATTAATGATAATAATAATTTTCATTAATATGAGAAAAATCCATCATCGAGACATAGGAATAATCATTTTACTGTGAATAATATTTCAAGTATTATTACGATAATTTATATATATATATACAGATAAAACGTATTTTTTACGCGTAAGAATTTGATATGGCACACAGACAGATACGCAAATATTTTCGAACATTAATCTATAATGATATCAACACGGCTTTATTTTTTTTTTTCTTTTTTTTAATACATATATATGTATAGAAATTTTACGATAGTAATTATGAAAAAAACGGAGAAGAATAAAATAAAATGTAAAGAAAAATTAATAAAAGATCGAATGATAATCTAAAATTATTACAAGTGAATTTCAGTCAATAATTTCATTGGCACCGTATATTTTTTTAAAGATGTTAATTAGAATAATTCTAAGCAAATTTTGTGAGATATCGTTGCTATAGAGATCGATATGAAAGATTCTTTTTTCATATTTGTAATATTGAGATAGAAAGATTATAGGAAATAGAGATAGAAATAGAGAAAGAAGAACGATTGCCAAGAAGCAATCAAATGAAAGACATCGGCACATCATCATATATATTTATTTAAACTACCGGTCAAAATAATTTAATCGTTTTACAAAATAATAGAAAATTGATCTTAAACGCGTGTGCCTTAGTATTCGTAATGAAAAGTCAATTGTTTGTGTTCAAAAGATTAATATAATAATTGTGTTCAATCTCAATGTGTCGTTTATCGAACAAAATTTTATTCGTGCAAAACGTATATTATAAATATTAATTCGAATAACTTTTCTATCATTTTGTAATCTGTTCAAATAATTTTCACACTGATAGAGTATACGTTAATCTAATCTTTCCCTGTACATTCACCTAGAAAATATTCTTCTATCTCTATTAGAAATCTCGCTTTTTATCACTCTGCGTCTTAAAGTACGCGATTAAGATTTTTTTATTATCATTAGTACTTCTTTTTTTTTGTTTTTTTTTTTTTTAAACAAATCTCTCGTCGATTTCCGTACTTTTCTCTATTGCCCTGTTTTTATTTGTTTAAAAAAAAAAAAAAAAAAGAAAAGAAATTATTGGCACCTTTTCACGTCAATGTCTCGTTGTAATATAATATTGTAATTAGTGTGATCAAATTGTAAACGATTTAATATATATTAATTAGAAACATATTCTAATTGAACAAGAGATTTGATATATCGATTTTTGTTTATTTTTTTTTTTTTGCTTTTTTGTTTTCTATTTGATTAACACGCGAACGTAACGAATCTAATTTGTTCTTTTATTATATTTCTTTTTTTTCTTCTTTTTTTTTTTTTAACGATATGACAGCAATCATTGCATTCTCGGCTTAAAAATTATTCATTTAATAACAGTTTTTAATATTGATTGTGTAACATTGATATGCTCTCAATATTCTTCAAAATTGTACGTCATATGGGATTTTTAAGATATCAAACTAACTGAGTTACATTGTTCATAATTATCAACTTTGTTTAATTACAATCTCGTTAAAATCGTACGATTTTTATTCGCAAACCCATTTGTACTTCTAACTGACCGTTCGTACCACAGCGAAATATTATAAACAAAAACGAATAAATATTTATATGTGTATATATATTTATAATTAAATATATAAATATTCACGTAAGTGTGCATGGCGCTCAGGTACTCTCTACGATCTTGTGTATATCGAACTATCTCAAATTTGTCCACTTTGCGGCCCCTTTTTGTGAAGAAACATTTTGACAAATTTTGGTATAAACTTTATACTATCTCGCTTTTCATTATCGTAAATTCGTAGACATATTATATGCCTAGTGTCGCCAAATTGTTTTCGAATGAATTAGCTCAAATTTCTGTGACCGCATATGGTGTCGTTAGAGTTGCATTGCGACCTTTGAGAAATCCTGTTGTATATAATTGCATCCCATATTTAACAATTTAAATAAGATATAATATTAATCGAGGAAGTACATAAATTCTTTCATTAAGATTTTTTTGTTTAAATTACACGAATAATGATATCTCATTAATTGTAAAATGTATTTACATCGATTTATCGCATCTTCTTATCGAATCATTGCAGATTTTATTCGAATATTAGAATAAATTCGACGAAATTAATTAGAATTATATATTAGAATAAATATTGTACATCAATCACATCGTACGTTTTATATTTTCAAATTAAATTGATAAAATTATTAGAGATTTTTCTTCGTACGTGGTCCGCACTCGATATGGTAAGAAATGTGTGTGTTAACAACAACAAAATAAAATAATAATATTAAGAAACGAATCGTGACAATTATTGGAACATGATATGCGTATAATAATCTGAAAAAATAAAATATATATAAAATATTTAATAATCTTCTCCGTGCCATGTGACACTATCTTCAAATTTAATTAGAATGATTTGTAAGAGAGAACAAATTAATTTTGTTCACATATATACGTGTTGTTTTTTTCTTCTATTCTTTTTTCCATTCTTTTCGCTAATAATAAATTTAACTAATAATAGATATCTATTTCTTTTGGCAAGATAACGTTTTGACACTCGAAGGCCTTTTTCTGGAAGATTGAGAAAATGGATAAACGGTATATTTAAACTATTGATTGTCAGATATAATGTTCAACGTGCTCTAAAATGTCTTATTTTAAATTTTGTTATTTTCCAATTTTTAAATCTCTTTAAGACGTTTTAGATTTATGATTGATTTATTCCATATAAATATCAATCCAAAAATGTTATGGATTCACATTTATATAACTCACTCGTATCGTTTACTTTGAAAGTAAAAATCCGATTTTAAGTACAGAAAAAAAAAATATATATATATATATATATATATAAATAAAAGAAAAAATTTTTTACCGTGTTATCTAATATTCTTCAAGATTGATATATCCGTTAATAGAAACAAACAATTTTTGTTTAAGATTCATTAAGCTGAAATAGGAGCATAATATTATAATCATCGTATCATTTTCTTGTAATTATGTATTATCTCAGAGTTCGTCGTTCCTTCCTTGCATGTTCTGGTCTTTTAACTAATAGTTATTAAACATTACACTGCTCCGATGCACGTTTAGGTGCTTAAAAAAGTTAATATTTTTCACAAAGCATCGGATTAAAAATGTATTTTTTATTGGACAGTGTTCATCGATCTTTCTCAATATAATTAACGTTGAAAAGTTGAAAAAGTCTTGATTTGAGAAGCAAGAAAAGTTTGTTTCTTCTAGCAAAGTGTGTACGTACGTGTGTAAATGTAATTATCTTTTTTTATTTTATATATATATATATATATTTTGTTTTATATATAGAAAGAACAGAGTGAGAGAGATCCGAGGATTCGCGATCCAACGTTGTTGAAATTAAATTGGACGTTTGCAAAATTTATCCAGGACTTAAGACAAAATAGTCATTATCAGTGGACGGGGTTCAAACGCAAACTTTTTTTTAGTCTTCTTCTTTTCTTTTTTAAAAATAATTCGGAAGATGATATTGTTTTTCCTATTTGTTGTTACCAATAACACTAATTTCATATTCTTTTCGTTCGTTCGTTTGTTTCTCTTTTTCTTAATAAAAACCTGGCTTACTCGCGTAAAAAAAAACAAAATAAAGAAACAAAAAGGAAAAAAAAGAACGTAGAAAAATTTACTCTCAAAATAAATATATAGTACCAGCGTATAAAAATTATTTTCTAATAATCTTAGAATAAAGTAGCATCGAGATATTAACTTGGACATTTTGTCGTTTTTAAAATACAATTGGTAGAAAACGTTGGCTCGCTTTAGATATACGCCTTTTTTTTTTCATTTCTTCTTTCTTCTTTCTGCTTGTTGATAGAGAGATGCGTTAATTGAGACAATTGTGAAGATTATCAAATGAATTATTATAACAATAATAATTATTATTATATCAAGAGTATTGAAAGATCGAAAATAGTTATAGATTTTTTTCGCATAGAATCTTTTCGAACGGTGTCACAGATTTGATCTTAGAATTAAATAGATATAGAATATTGTATTTCTTTTTTTCTTCTTCTAAGTATTGATGGAAACATTGATAAAATTAATTGCATTCCTAATTCATCAGCCTCTTTATTATTTCATCGACGCGTGACTTACGGAGGGCGGCAAATTGATCAAAGTCGAACTGCTTAATCTCGATGCTCGAGGCTCAATTTCCAAAGACATTCGATATAAATCTTTTTCATTTAACAGCAACGACGAATCCAATAAATAATTCGTTACCTTTGTGATCAGTTCGATCTTGTAAGGTGTTTGCTGAAAATGTCTTATTTCACGAATCACGTGTGCGATCTAAAAGCAAATAATAAATTCAATAAAATAATAATCGTTTCATTTTTAATATCAAATTATTTATTAATAAATTTATTTCATACCATTCGCATTTTGGAGAAGTTTAATAGACCTTCTTCGGTAAAATTCGGTGTACCTTCTTCAATGAAGGAAAGATCAGTAAGGTATAGTCCTAGATATGGAATGCATGGTGGATCGCATCGGTGTAAAGCATCCCTTAAATTTCTAAATCTTCCGTCGGACGAGACGATATTTTGTAGTTTTTCTATTGTTTGTTTAGTCTGCAATAAATTGAATAGTTATAAATTTTTGATTTAATTAGTATTGTTTAATCTATAATCATTACAAATGTGAATACAATTATATGAAATATTGATTAATGAATGAAAAATACACGAAACATATATATATAGATACTATTATATTTTAATATTTATTTTACCGTTTTAGAAACCTTTTCCCAGGTTTTCTTCAGCCTATAAACACTGCTATTGGTAAATGCAGCACAAATTTGTAATACACCGTTGTAATTATGTAATACTCTACTAATATCAGCAACTGCTGCCCATTTTTCAATAGCCGCAACCCTAGCCGGCATATTAGATCTACGAATGATCTCAGAAACTACTAACTGCGATACTTCGTTAAATCTTTTCGTCATTAATAAAATATGCGGAGCACGCGTAGCTTTGTCAGTTTTCATCCAAGCTTGACCAAGAAATTCTCTGTGTAAGAAAAATATAATTGATTATTGTTTTTTCATTCTCATTTGTGTTTCAAAATTTTCTTTAGAAGATTTTATTAACTTACTCGCTTGCAATAGATACGAATATTTGATGATCCAGATAAGTCATTTGTTCTGCGATTTCCAATGCTGATAAAGTTTCGATACTTTCTTTACTTGCCACCTGATAAATAAAATAACAATAATTAATATCAATTTATATATACAATAAAAAATGAAAATACAATAATTAAAATAATTTCTAAAAGTAACCCTCACCGTGGGGGGTGTCAAGAGTTTCTTAAGATCAACTTTGTTACTTTCGGATTCCTCTTTGGTAATCAATCTTAACAGCTGACTAGCAGCTTTGTGTTCAGCCGGTAAAAGATTAGGACTATAAATAATATCTTCAAGAAACTCGATGGTCAAAGTTTTCAATTTCTGATCCAATTCGAAATCTTGAGCGTGTTTCGAGACCCAATGTCGAAGAACATTTAGTACTCTCATGGTTGCAGCTGTTGACATAACCGATTCCTTTCGTCTGTTTTTATCACGACATGAACCACTTCGATTGTTTCCATCACTGATACAGCATTTTCCAGGTACTTTATCAGGTGGATTACTCGATGCTGAGGTTGCTATAGCAAATGCAGTTGCTGCCGTTGATGTACTGCTCCTGAGTTATGATAAAATAATTGATAATATGATATATTCATTGATTAAGGAAGATCTAGCAGAGATTCGTTAAATCGATTCGCAACTTGATTTTCCATTAGCCCTATAACCGTGATCAATATTTTTCGTATTTCAATGAATATCGATTTTAATTAATATTATATGTTAAAAGTCATTTTTTTTTGTTTAATCTTTTTTTATTTTTTTCCCCGCACGATTTATTCTAATCTACGTTCTAATGTGCAATCTAATTGACTAACCCGGCAAACGTACAACGTGTAAAGTTAGCAGTGAGCAAAAAAGGCATAATAATATCATCTATCGAGGTCCGGAACTATTTCTATTTCGTTTTAATTCGTCGATATATAAATGCCTCGTAATTGATTAAAATAAAAAAAAAGAAAGTAGTATGTATAATATAGAAATACGAAAATAAGTAATCAGAAATAATTCACGATAACTAAGATCAAAATCAAACGGGACCTAATGTATATGTGTGTCTGTTTGTGTTTATGTAAGTGTGTGCATGTGTGTGTTTGTAATTATTAATATTTGACTAATGAAAGCACAGGCAAGCGAAAGATAGATAGATTGATAGATAGAAAAATAAATATATCGTTAACGTTTAAAAGCTGACAAAGTATATGCGCCATGCTTTAGTTTTTGTAAATAAATAATAACATCATTTACAAAAAGCACAGATGAACGCACTTACTTACCAAATAGGTTGGGGTCCGATGCTATGAATGACGCAAAACAACATATGAATTACAGTTTAATTAAAAACGACGATTATACAAATAATAGAAATATATTCCCGGATTTTCGGTGATAGTACTCTATCTACTAGTTGTTTTTCCTTTTTTTCTTTTTCTTTTTTTCTTTTTTTAAATAATTAGGAAAAAAAAAGAAACGAAAACAAGAACGTACAAGAGGTCTACGCACAGAAAAATAGAAAAATTTCATATACGTAAATATATTTTGTTTCTATCGTTCTTTCGAATAATACAATATCCAATACTAATTTATATAATAAAATGATAGATAAACAACAATAACGTATACATATATGATAATATGTATATTGCGTAATACGATAAATATGTATAATAATAATATAATAAGTAAGAAGGTATGGAAGAATAAAGAATTGTTAGATATACAGATAATTATTAAAAGATACGATAGAGAGTAAATTAGAATGCTAATGAATATGATAAAGCAACCACCAATGCGTACGAAATGTGAAAAGTATAATCATATTCTCTTTTTTTTATTTTTCATTCTTTTCCATCAACATATTTTTTTGATCTTTTTTTTTCTTTCTTTTTTGTTTGTTTGTTAAATATTTTTTGATTAACGAAATAGAGATAATTTTTAAAAAACGCACGTTGTACAAAATAATTCTTTATGCAGCACATGATACAATTGAAATAAACACGTATCAATTCGTATTCGAGATTATTGAAAAAGCCCTAACACACATCGTACAGACCTTCACGCCTTTGATTTTTTATTAAATTCTTTTCTCAAATTTGAAAAAATAATGTGGCAGCGTAAATAACAATTTCTAAAATTCGAATAACAATACAAACCGTTATACATAAATATTAATATACTACATACATGTGTACTCATACATGTATATCGTATATCGAGAAATCTACATGCGCTCTGATTACGTACAAAAAGATCACACTGTAAAAAGTTTTATACGAAGCTCGAAACCAACCTTCGTTGACTTTGTCGAAAACTGGTAACTACCACACCGGCCTTACTGGATGGTTGTTGATCATGTTGAAAGTTTCCTTGAGACGATGAACATAAGTCGGATTCTTGAATAGATCGTCTGGTTGCCCAATGATTCTAATAAAGAAAACAAAAAAGAAAAGAAAATAACAAAAATTGTAATAATAAAAATAATATTTTCTAAACAATTATTTTTCGCAAACGTACTCCCATTATGGTAGAAATTGAACCACTTCTCATTCCTGTAACCGGTGCAGAAGCAACAGATGCTCTATGTTCCATGTGATGAGGATGATGATGATGGTGATGTTGATATTGGGTTTGACTAGAGGTAGTTTGAATTTGTCCAATCGATATCGGTGTCTTTTCTTCTTCGGTCCACTCTCCTCGTGTTTCCTTTTCAATCTCGTGATCTTTAATTTTAGGTGTTTGAGGTGTAGCAGGAGTCGATGGTGTTTTTTCTGTTGTTTCAGAATCCGTCGATTTGCCTGATGTCAGTGGTACATCGGCATATGTAAATTGTACTTCTGTTTGGATTATATCGATTTACATATTTTATTTTATTCCAACAAACACTTGGAGATATGTGTCGTTTTATTCTTTTTTTATAATTAAATTATAATCAATTTTATATATCGAACACAAATTAGGATTAAAAAATATAATTCATTTTACGAGCATACGAGTTACTTTGAAAGTAATGATCTCCTCAACACGTGGAAAATAGAAAACAACAAATTAATCGAGATTTAAAAGTTTGAAAAAAAAAATACTAATTTAATTGATATAACACATATAGTTACCATCTGTAGAAGATGTACTTGTAGCTACAGGTGTATCAGTTTCTTCAGAAATACCTCTAGAAATTGTACCACCTTCTTGAGGACTAGGATCCGATCCAGATCCTGAACCCGTCGATCCAATTAACGTAACTGTACTTAAATTACTCGGTGAAGATGGTGCACTCAACACTGTTGCTTCTTTATATAATTAAAAAAGATATATAAATTTATGTTAATTTTATCGTAGTTCAAAAAAAGAATAGATGGTTTTATTAAAAACAATTTTATTAGTAATTTTTTTTTTCAAATTAAAAATCATTTCTCTAATTAAATGAAAAATATAAAATGACGAATTAATTTAATGATTCATTTGTTCTTTTTATACCTGTTAACGTTTCTGAACTCGATGATACAGCTATAACTTTTGGAATGGTAAGATGGCATCCATCATTTTCGGTATCATTGTCAACACGTATGCTGATTTTTCTTGAGGTTGCTGGAGATTGAGTAGTCACGGACGGATAGGACGATTGCAATGTTGGACTATGTTTCATGATCGATGGTGCTTCTGTTATCAATCCTAATTGTTGTTCTTCTTCCACTTTTCCAAAAGAAAAAATGAATTCGTTGAATAATATATATAAATATTAAACGTTGTTCATTTCATATAAAAAAGAAAAAAAAAGAAAAAATGATTAACATCACTTTAATGACAACAGTCTAAAATATAAGAAAAATATTTCAAATAAAAACACTTACATCTTTTACAACCACCACGCCAATGAGTCTTCGAATTTAACGTGTGAGCACCAGTATTAGATTCGTACACGTAATGTCGGTCTCGTTCGCTAATTTCTGATCCGTATCCTAATTAAAAAAAAAAGGTATCATCATTTCTTTTACATATTTTGACGTAGAATTATTTTTCTTATTTATTATACATTATAAAGTTTTCATACTGTAATGGACAACAACAAAAAATTATCATAGATAAAATACTTATTATAATTAAGATTATTTGATACCTGAAACAGAACTGGCACCGCTCGTTCTTCTTGGAGAAACACTGCTTCGTCTTCGTTCATCCGTATGAGCTTGACACTCACTCGTGGTACCTCCCAAAACATCTAACGATCTAAAAAATTGTATCTATATTTCAATCACATTTCATTAATCACTTTAACACTAGATTTATGGATTTGAAATGTACATTTGTTTAATTTTATTATAACAAACACTTTAAAATGCATTTATTATTTTCTTTTTGTATACGATAAAAAGCATCATAAATGGATAAAATAAAAATGGTAATAATTTGAATAAGTAAAAAATGTAAAAAAAAATCCATCGAATTAAAACAGAATTCCATAAATCCAATGTTAAATTTTGTTGATTTTACTCACACGAGAGAACCACTAGGCATTTGTGCATCAGGTGGTTCCGTTTCGTAAAAGACTTTTTTTAACGCTTCCAATACCGTAACACCATCGGTGAATACCCGATAGGTCAACAAAAACGTGTTGAGAAAATCGATACTAAGAAATCGTAAGTCGGTAAGCCTTTGTAATAAACGTTCAGGAGTGGCCGAACGAATTTGTGGAATTTTACAAGAGTTCAATGTACGACTGAACCTAATGTCTACGTCATCCTTGAATAATTTTGGATCGTTCCTAATCGATTGTGGCATCGTGACGGAACTTGTATCCGACATCGAGCAATGAAGGAGATCGTTGAAATGTACGTTGTCCATGCATTGACTTATGTCACTTATCCATGCTGCTTTTTCCTAATAACAGTTATACAATTTTATTTATTAGAAATTCATTTCGTGTAAATCATATTTACATATAAATTTTTTTAATCATGAAATAGATGATAATATTGGCTGAAAGTTTAACTCATAATTCAAACCGTTTTAATTTTTCTCATGAAAAAAAATAAAATTGCAAGTAACATAAGTTTATTGCAGCATTTGCAAAGTGCAATTACAAAAGTTATAATCCAATTGAGTGTGTTACTAGAAATATCTTAAAATTACTAGATACCCTAGTAATACCATATATAACTAATAGATGCAACAGATGACACTATGCGTTAGATGTTTTTGTTATATTATAAAAACTATCAAATATTTTGGAAAATATTAACCTGCATAGTTGGTGCTACGAGATGAACGGTAACCAATGGCCCGCCAGATTTCACATCGAGTATGATCTTGAAGTCACGATTTTGAAGTTGTGAACTAGTATTTCCGCTTGCACTTCCGCTACTCTCACTGATTCCACTTGACATCGAGCATACTGAAAGTTCTATAAGTAGTAAGATCACTGTTCTATCATAGAACGATATTATAATTAAATAGAGTATACAGAAACTTAGAGATCAAGATCGAGAAGAGTTATTAGGACATTCATTCAAAAATTCTATATATCAAATTTTTGTTTGTTTTAATAATTAATTTCAATATTATAATATAATGAAATATATTTATGAAATACACTCTTCGATCTAATCTCGTCTATATTCCATAACTGGTAATACCGTCATCGTCCGTAACACCTTGTTCGCAGGGATCCTCTATGAGGACAGCATCCGATAATGGAATCTTGCCGATATGCGATATCAAATTCAAACGGCCATCATCGTCAGATTGTCTCGTTGTCAATAACAAATGATTCGAAAATAGGAAACATTGTCTGACAGCTTCCTTGTCACTGGAACCTTTACCACCAAATGTTGCACTCAATCTGCTACGTGCTCCTCGTGGTTTATCAAGTATCTGTACGAGTGCACCTGAAATATAAAAACATATATATATATATATATTTCATCGCTAATATATTTCTTCCAATCGATACGCGCCTTTTTTTTTTTTTTTTAATAATTTATCTATTCCTATTTCTATCGTGGATTTAAAAATTTTACCTTAATTTGTAAAGGATTAATTTCTTCTTTGGTTTTGATTTATTTATTTTTGTCTTGTTTTTGATTTTTTTTAAATGTTCTTTACGCGAAGTTAGAATAATTCTTGGTCCCTATCGATAGCCCTTGTACTTTAATTGGTCCCCAAAAATATAAGTACGTTCGTTTTCTTAAGAAACTAAATTACGACGAACGACTTTTATACAAGATGGCACACACAAAGATGAAAACTCTTATTTTTGTGTATGTAATTAATTTGAAAAAAAATAATAAAACTATTCGTAAGAAGTTTGTCAAAAAGAAAACTTAGGACGGATAACGCAACGTTTAAAGAGGAACAAATCGTTATTGTTTAATCTCTTGTTTTATTTGTCGTTTATATCACCGTAGACACTCGTATTTCGAAGTTGCGTGTTTCGAAGATGCGACAGGGTAGTCCTAACGTGGAATGAAATACGTTTGCGTGGTAACCATGTGATCCGATATTAAGCACGAGGAGACAGGATCGTATCAAGTGATTTCTATTCACAGAAAAATATCCCTCGAATAACATTGATTCGATTTAACCCAATAAATCAAATATTTCATTCGAATATTATCTAAGTATGTCAAATCTACAGAATGGAAAACCCTATCGACGATCTTTCGAAATCAAAAATATATTATAAAAGGTATTTGAATTTTATTTATATCTCAAATGCTTGGAACGTTATTGAAAATTTCATATTTCATACATGCCTGTCTCTTCGACATAATAATAGAAAATATTTAGGATAAAATGAGTATTATCCTTTGATAAAATATGTGAAATTTTGTTCTCATTGTATCCTTTGACGGAATATTCATACCACACGTGGATTTCGTTCCTGAATAGAACATTCTGCGCAGAATCAAGTTAACTGGGAATTAAGTTTGGTGTATTGGTGTAAACTAACGTGTACGTGTCGTGGCATTGATTCCTCCGAAGTATGA